TGGACGCCCTACATCGAATTAATTAGTGACTTTATTATTTTTTCACGCGGCATAAATAAAAGGTTTAGGAAGGTTGCCATTTTACGGTTTGTACTACATTCCCTATTTTATTATGAAAATCCTTGCTAAGGATTAAACGCAGAGAAAGAGTACTTTTCTTTATTTTATGCCCATTCGCGTAGATGATTCTTACAATTCTCTTTCAAGAAGCAATTACCTCCCGGTAAGTTATGCAAAACCACATTAAGACTTGATCAAGCTGGATACACAAAATCACACTAAAACTTTCCCAGTTCTGAGTTTATGCTTCGTTAATTTTTAAAGAGATTAAAATTGCCTCGTCTACACGGTATATAAAATTTTAAGAATAATGTTGAATCAGTTTCTCGAACTCTTAATATTTGCTCGTCCACCATTTTATCGAATTTACTGGTTTAAGAAGTTTTGTACATCTTATAACAACAGCCAACCTCACGCGGAATGTACGTGTTTGTACTACACCAACTTGGGCTATTTGCGAAAGCGTCGAGCTGAATAATTACATCAATTTTTGAGCACCAACTAAAAGAGGGATTTCATTCCGCATAACATCCTAGTTTGCAGAAACTGGGTCATTTATTTCTTAAATGTTATCAAAGTAATGTAAAAGGTACGCTTCAAATACTGTCATGCACGTTTGAGATTTTTCCACCCAAACTCACCCCATCGTATTTGAATAAGTGCACTTTTATGTGTTAAATATGACATGAAAGGAGAAAACCGACCAAATTATATCAATTTGCATCAAAGACTGGGTGAGTTTCGGAAAACCCCGGGGAAAACCATTTCGAACAAATCAGTAAGAGGAAAAAGGGAAAAGGGCAGTAAAAGTTTAAATACATAGAATAGAAAGCGATAGATCACCAAGGCAGAAAATAGTGCTAGTAAGAAAAGGCGGTTAAGAAAGTGTAAGAAAAGCGCGTTGTGGTCTGAAGAAGACACGAAGGAAGAATTCGTGAAAGCAGAAGGGCTAATTGAAGAAGGTTCAAAACGAGGCTCAAACGGTGTTTGAAAGGCGAGACCTGAACAAGTGCCAATGGAAGAAGATTAAATGATGTAATTATAAAAATAAAAGTAATGGGAAAGCGTGAATAATAGTTATTTATGTATTAAGGGCATAATAGTGATGTTTATATTCTCGAGGGCGACAAGTTAAAAAGCTCGAGGCCCTCGAGCTTTTTAGTCGCCCGAGAGTATAAACATCACCTTATGCCCGTGGTACATACACAATTTTATGTTTTACAAATAGTTTTCTTCGTCAAAGTAAATATTCGTTTACAAAATAATTCATTATGTTTGATTAAGTATGCGTGGTTCGAATTTGTTAATGTGATTGAAACCATCCAAACGTCAAACGTAATTTTACATAATTCAATTCATCGTGAATGAGCAAGAAGTTCCAGAAACTATACGAAATAAGGCCAATCTTGTGATTTAGTAGGTATTGACAATTAATAATTGACGTTTCTAATTTTCAATGACCTGCAAATATGTGTTAATTTTGTCATTAAATATGAATGAGTTACTATGGTGAGACTTAATGCTCTAGGGCATAAAGTGGTACTTTATCACAGATATAAAATGTGCTATAATAGGTTAGTAAGACATAAAAATAGTAGTAGAGGTAGAGCGAAACAAGTGTGAAAAGCGAGCCTAAAGAAAGTGTCAAGGCAAAGTGAACAAAGTTTATACAGAGGATACAACGGTCTTTGTTGCATAAAGGTTGTAATAATTCTGTGCTGTGCAAACTATTAGAAATTATCATAAACCACAGGCTAACGTGTGAAAAAAGGAGTTAACGAGTCAAGGAAGTAGGCTAGACCCACGAAAATGTCTTGTATAAAGGAGTGACCTGGCGAAGAAGAAAAAATGGGACCGGAAAGTGTAAAAACACGAAGAAAATTTTAAGCAAGCGTGAAAAAATACATAAATAAACGAGAGGAAGAAAATAAGGGCTCAAAGATAAGGGGGTGGAGAAAACGAGGCGCAAAAAAGGGAAGGAAAGAGGGAAGACGTGAATCACAGTAAAGAAAAGAGAGATGCAGAGGGCATCGGCAAGCGAAAAAAAAGGTTTATAAAAGCCTCCATATAGCCTTTCAATGCAGAGTGAAAGAGGGCGTGAAGGGTAAGAATTGTAAAGAAAGTTTTAAGGAAGTCCGAAAGAAACGTGAAGCAAAAAGCCGTGAAAGAAAGGAAATCGGAGGATGAGAGGGATCAATAAGGCATAAACTATTCATCAAAGAGAAATGAAAGATACATTACGGAGCAGTCGTGAAGGATCCATAAAATTTACTCGTTTAGACAAATTTGCAGTTAAATACCTGAATGGAAATGTATAAATTATTCCCTTTGGAATCGAAGTTTGTGCTTTGAGTTTATAAAGAAATATTTTTGCCTAACTGTTTTCGTCGCAAAGAAACATGGATTTTACAAATATTTAGACCAAATGTAGACAATAAAAAATTATGATATTTGTGCAGCGTCATAAGAACGGTCACAAAAAATGGATAAACCAATGGATGAAACAAACTTACCCGATTTGCAAACAAGGAAGAGTGCCGGGCATTCAATGCAGTCAACGATTACATCCATAGCTGAAGAGGAAACAGTATCAGGCAAACAGAAAGAACGACAAAGAAATCCCCACTCGAAAATAAAAACGACTAGGGAAGAGTAGGACACAACCTCGCTCACTCATTCAAAGACTTTGAACCAAAAACAAAATAATTTCATGAAATCGGCATCCAGTTAAAGTCCGATAAAAAAGAAACTTCAGAAGTCGGTACGAATTTTGGAGGGACAAAGGAGGCTTAGTAGTTGAGAATCTCTAGAAGTAAATGAGGTTGGGGTTTCAGGAAGATTTAACTATTCATCAAATTAGGAAGAATGTATTATGGGGTACCCCTCTTACAGGTACATTGGTAAGTTCCGCCCTTTTCTTTATCTTTTAGGTTCTGAGCGTAGATCATCATAAAGAAGAAAGGAAGGCATGTGATCCGTTAAAAAATATGGCTTGAGTCGGAGTACGACTCTTTTTATTGCATAATCGGTAACCATCCTTCAGCATTATTTTTGTACAACATTATAACTCCGGTTTTTCAATAGATCGATTAAAGATATGAGGAATTTCTCCAAAAGTGTTAATTACAAGAGGTCTATCTTTCATTTTGATTATAACTAGTTATCCTCAAGGTTCATGCCAATTTAGTAACAGTGTATCATAAATGTGTGATTTCCTGAACATGTTTGTTTAGAACCATTAACACTAATCTGACAAATCTACTACGTTTAGATGAATAATAGGTATCCTTTGCACAAAAAGGTAATTAAATAAAAATTAATACGCAACTATAAATTTAGAAATGGATTTTATAATGTAATATACAGCGAGCTATTCCTAAAACTATACCCCTATGTTCAGTTAAAAAAAACAATCTATTCCATTAATCAGCAAAAATAAGTGATGTATATAATATATCAAATTAATTAGTTCAAAGTTTAATTAAATAAGAAGGCCCAGTGTATAGTATAGACTGTGTCCAAGGTAAGAATGCCTATCATGGGGATTTTAAAAACCATACAAGATACGGAAGTTGTGCGGGGTTGCACCATCCTGTTGAAACCAACAGTTTCCAACTTTTGTTTTTTTGTGTCGTACATCATTGTATTTGTAATAAAAAATGCTATTCAATAACCGTATCAGTTTTACACACTGTTATAGAGAAGTGACAATTTGAAAACCGACAATAGACTATATCTCATAATCAAAATGTGATATCGACAAATACTAAATACTAAATTGTTGTTAGGGTAAAAAGAGCGAACCAAAATGCCATAAGAGAGACTCGCCCCCCCCCCCCCACAATTGAATTAATGAAAATTCTTCCAATCAAGCCTCGTGCAACTTCTAATTTCGCCGCTTCAACATAACCAGCACAAAATATGTCAATCATAAAAAAATAGAGCTGGAGCAGAAGACAAAGTAATACGAGCAAAAAAAAAATGAAAACGGTCCAAAAATGTTACAGAAAGCAATAAAATGAGTTAGTACCCGAAAAAAATTATAATCGAAAAGAAAATAAAGTGTCATTCCAGTACCTGACTATATTAGGCCCTCCTGGTATTATCTTGAAACTAATAAAATAGGCTATTTGGAATGTTGCTCACAATCTTACCAATTTAAAAGTAATCACGAAATATAAGTAACATAACCTCACATTTCGACGAAATTATGTGAACTTTTAATTAAGATTTTTGAAAATTTAGCGCTTCTCCCGCAATTTTTTGTTGAAGGCGCTCAATTAATGTGTGTTCTAGTCATTTTTATCAATTTCATGATCGTAACTGGATAACGTCACCTAAACGAGAAACGTTGTGGTTGCACTGTCTTCCAGGGCTACTAGGTATAAACGTTGTGTTTGAAGATGGTTCGCTTTAAAATACCTACTTCAGATTCTAACTACATATTTTCTTTGGTTTGGTATTGAATCATTCATTAGAGTGACCTTCCATTGTTAACATGCTGGGGACATTAATTATGTTGTGTTAATACTGTAATGGGCCTTTTAAAACAAATGAAAATAGCCGTGCGAGAGTTTAATAGAGTGCAAACTAGTAATCTAAAGGTACGGTTGGATGCAATAAACTATTAAAATCGAATTAGGTTTTAGTTTCATTTCGGTAACAGCGTTGACATCGAGAGCTGTGTCAATCAATGATGTGAAGTTTTACATTACATGTTAATTAATTCCGCTCCCCCTCCCCCCCTCCTACCCCCCAGGTCTTACTCTCAAAAGCATAATGAATAAATTGGCGCAATATCAATATTTGAAAAGACGATGTGAAGTGAAACGAAAATATAAATTATAAATGTTCTAAATTGAGTGCGACACTAATATCTCAAAAGGTTCTTAAAGCCATTATTAATGTAATGATATTAAAATGTATAAGTAGGTACTTACCTAAAAACGATCTAACGCCAAGTGTTCCCCTTGCTATGCTTAACATCATGGCTGCCATAGAAACCTTCCCTGCGGCAAACACAAAATCCGCTTTTGTCTTTTCCTTCCCTTCCACAAATCTGGAGTAGACCGCTACAAAGGTGGTAGCGATCACGAATATTATAAACACCAAATAGTCCCATACTAAGCTACTCGCTTCCCTTGTCATTTTCAAGTACTTATTCTACGACGTATCCAAATCTGAAATCAAAACGACATTTAATTTGCGATTATTAATTGCCCCGCAGTTTTACAATTTCAAAATAATTGATCCCCGGAAGTGGAATATTATAATGAATCCATTGAATTTCCCCATTATGTTTAAGTTATTGCTTTTAATGTTGGTGTAATGAGTAGAACATTTTAATTTACCTCGCGTATCTAGTAGATTTGCATGCTTGCAGTAGTAAACTGACGTTGCATAACCTTTTCACTCTTTCATTTGCAACAGAATATATTTCCCTATTTTATGTGCAAATAACAGCTTTTAAAATCAATACAATCTACGCTTTACAGTACATTTATTTTTGCGATTTAAAATTTCAATTACACTTTTCATTGCGATAACAGCTGTATGAATATTGTCCAGTTTTCGTGTGTGGGCGCAAACGGTAATTACGAATTGTGACGTCAAAAAATAGGTTAAGGTGCAAGGATAATTTGGAAAAACCCGACTGATTTAAAATCTGATTAAAACTAGTTGCTAAAGGATGTCAATTATCGATTTGGTACGATCTGCTGGGAAGAGGTGTTTTTGTATAGTGACGTCTAGGTCCGTGCTAAAGAGAGATATTCGTTGTAACGTTTCTGATACTCTGTTCATCTTCATTGAAGCATACTTAGGTTACTTTATATCTGTAAGAAATGATCGACCGTTGATTGATATTTATTAATTAATAAGTACTAGAACTGCATTATTACGTACCTAACCCGGGCATCAAGCGCAAAATTTAAGGAGCGTTTCTTTTTCTTCCATTTTTAAAAATACTATATTTTGTTTTATTTATCTAACCATAATTATTACCTTTGGAATTAATCAGGAAGTCAAAAAAGTTGATGGCCTTTGAGTATAACCTACCAGGATTTTCCGCGCCCATGATCAATTCTGTTTTTGGGCAATATTGCAATGCCAAAGTTTATTTACAAATAATCAACAATAATAAAAAAAATCATTTTCAGCACAATAAACGTTGGAAATACGATTTATGTTAGACTGATCAATGTATTTCACAAAATATAGGGTCTTGAGGCGCAGATTCTTGCTTATTTAAAAAATAAAACCAAAGACCTTTAGTTAAAGAGTTTTTTTTTGTTTTCCTGTTACCTGTCAATCTAAATTGTAGTAGTATACGTTTACATTGCGACACGTCAAATTTGACAACTGTTTGCTAGCACTTTCATATTCTTTATCGCATTTTGCTACATTAACCGATAAAATATCCGTTTAGTTTCAAAACGAACAATATAGAAGCATATCGTCCGTAACTCTCACTGTGATATTCTGAGAGAAAAGTTGAAAAACCTAAAAATGTGATCGGGTTTACCAAGAAAAAGTAAGCACCTGATTTCTAATCTTATTCGTTATTTCACAGACAGGTGAGGATGCATTAAATATTAACCTGCGAACAGTGACTTCTGGTCCATAAATTTATAAATCGGGCAAACCTCCAGAAAGTTCTAAAACACAAGGCAATGTAAAAAACCGGTAGCGACGTTGATGGTTTCACACAAGCAGCGATTCGGAACTCTATTATCCAGGTAACATACTGGTATTGATGAGAACAATACTATCTTATGTTATTAGGGTTAATGGTTTTACATGCAGGACATGAATGTTTTATTATTGGAGCATCTTTAAATTTAGCTTCAAAAACAAATAATCCAGATTACCATGAGGAATTCAACAAGGACTGCTGTCTGAAGTGGTTCGGGGACCATTTGCTTCCGAGTTTAGAAGAATCATCGCTGATTATTATGGACAATGTTCGTTATCACAGTAGCACAACTATAGGCATGACTAGGCACAAAAATGAGTTTCTAAACGATTCGTTAAAAGTGGAATTGCTGGAGATTTTTGCAAGGGTTGTTTCCTTAAATTCCATGCAGCATGGTTCATTTGTAGTAATACTTTTAGTTTCGAGACTATTTGTTATTTCAGAAATAGGATATTAAACATAAAATAAGTTGTATTTTTTCGGACGATTTGAATTTGTTGTGATAAAAATGTATTTTTCGTTACAATCTGCTTTAATATTTCGACATTTGTTCACTGTTAGTTACGAGTTATATCTAGTGTAGCTGTAAATAAATTACAAAATTCATTTTTTTGCATAGATTCTAAAAACACTACAATCTTTCAAAACACGCCAAAAATAATACAGGGTGTCATTTAAATTTTTGGACCAAAGGCCAAACGGAACAACCCGTCGAAGGTGACAGTTGGCTTCGCAGAAAGATAGTTCCTTGATGCATTAGAATTCTGTCAGTTAGGACAGTTAGGTAGGTACATAAGTACATTACATAATTATTATAATTTAAAAAAAACAAACAACACTCGCAAAAATATTATGCCCAACATAAGGTAGTGAGGTAGTGATGGAAATACACAGTGGACGCCAGGAGCTCCTCATATGAGCGCTCACTTTCCATGCTAACAAGAAGTTTCTTTTTCTTCAACAAATTAAAACGCAAGCCTCAAAAATCTTCACACAGGAGAGGGTAGAATGGACCGCACAGGCCTTCAAAACATTTAAGGTGACTATTAGAGATGGTATCTTTCCAGACCTCGTCCAAAAGATGCTCAGTCGACCTATTCAAATACAATATACAATACATACTTGAAAAGATGTCAAAAAAGGTGTATCTAACCGCGTTTGCGGACATAAAGGGTCGATCACATCCCATGAATTAGAGGAGTCAGTCACAGTGGTGACCAAAAGATGTGCCCTCAAAGGGCCCGCGGGGGGGGGGGGAGCACTATCGCCCCACTAAAAGAAGAAGACGTGTAGCCGGTTTGTTAGAATCTATTCGGGTAGGCAGAAAATTATGTGCGTCATTGTTCCTGTCGGAATAAAACTCGATTTCCTTCAACGCACTCATTCGGGTGACAGCTCACAGTAATTACGAGAAGGGAGGCGGGGAGGTGATTATATAAAAAATCCCGTATAAAATAAGTTTTCTCACCTACGGTATATCAGATGTGTTTAATGTACATTTCAAATGTTCACGATATGTTTCGACATGTCTTCTATAATCCTGAAGCTTCATGAATCACAAACCACCTCTCGTAATAACGACAATATCAGATTTTCCATGGGCATAATATTTTCAGTCAATTGGTTAAAGTGACGCATTCTGTTATTTACATTGTGTAGTCAGTCTGTACATGTTTAAAATAAACAGTACAAGGTTAACTTTTTCGGCAAAATTAATAATTAACGTAACATCTCACTAATTTGCTGGAAGGGATATGGAAACTTTCTTTTGGATCGGATTATCGCACCAGACACACCGACGATCAGACAGGCAAACAAACCGATTTTTTAAGACATTTTTCATCCTAAAGTCACTTCTTAATCAAACAATATAGCCAATTCGAAAAGATCGCACAAACATTTTCCTTGCACGATTGTTTACGCTGTAATATTCAATAAAAATGGGTTGCACCTACACCTCCCAACTAAAAACCAACGAAGTCCATTGATTTTCCGAATTTAATAATTTGGTCATTTTGGAATTAAATTGCGTAATTGTATTAATGAGATAACTTCATTACAAGAAGGTTCTCCTTAATGTTATACTTACAGCTTGAAATTTTTTTCTTCAAATGCCGATTTAATTGTGTCTTCCTTGGTGTACCTACAACCCTACCTCTCACGTGTCAGTTTCGATTTGTTCTCAATTCGAAAAATGGGTATTCGCCCCGGTTACCACCCACGCAAAGTTTTTGTAGATGATCCTCTAAGCTTTTGATATTTGCCCATTTAGCTTTAATTGAAATCACTTTCTGGCAAAGTTAAAATAGAATTTCCACCCTTGACATATAATATTCTGACACTAAATTTGCAAGACTTACTTGTTGCAAACACACAAATTTATCTCAACAAATAACGTAAAAGTTATTTCGATTTATACCAATGATTGGAAAACGTCAAGGTCTGAAGAAGCAAACAAAGACCATTGCAAAAAATTCCAATGTTTAATTTTCTTTACGTTGTGAATATGAATGTTTTTAACCTAACTAAATATGAGGATGATTTGACTGGAGATGACTTATATGGATGTGTACAGAATACTTATAGGAACTCAAAATTCACGAGGTCATTGTAAATTTGTAGAATACAATTATAATTACTTTTTAATATCTAAAAATTGAAATAATAAAAAAGTGGTACGTCAATACCTTGAGCACGTTCAGGGTGGTGATTTTAAGAAAAAAAACCCGACACAATTTCACTTTCGAACCCCACTGCTTTTATTTAGATTCGAACACAATTATTAAATTTAGCACTAGAAAAAATTCAGCTATAATTAAAAATAATAATCAATGCACAATCAATTTACATTTTGACCTAGAACTATGCACTGTGAGACACGTGAAAATATAATGGCTAATAATCAGAATAGCTCTTCTGTACGAATTAATTAAATACAGATTAACTTTAATTTTTGGAATACCTGCAGATAACTCCTACGTCATAATTTCTCAGTAGGTAATAAACGGAGATGACTTAAATCGTCCGATTACCAACACGAATGTACAGCACATAACATTTACACACTAATGAGGACCGCTAGTTTAAATGTACTACGAATAATAGGAACATAAGCGACATTAATACCTCAGACAGTGTATTTACAACTGCCAAGGTTTTTATAAGAATCGGTTTTTCAATGAGTCTAATACCAAACCGTATTGCTTTACTACTTTGTTGTAATTAATAATAATGGTTTTGTGCATTATAATTAGTGGCAATATACTAATTATGCTTGTCGCTTCCGTTTTCATAACACATTATGAAGGTCTGCGTGCGATGAATGCTGAAAGCGTACAACTGAAGTTGAAGACCTTTGAAAAACGCGCCGAGTGGAAATAAAATTGTTTGCTTACCAATTTATGAAGTACAAATAACGGTCATTAAAATCGGTGGCTTTCACTGTTGCTAATGTACGAATCATGGACGTAACACTCAAGACGAAATTTTGATTTTATGTTGGCGACTAACACGAAACTTCAACAACGATAGCGTCTACTTTCAGTGGTACAGGTTCCCATAGGCAACCAGTGGACATGTAGTTTGGGAATTTTATGCCAATTAGCGGGTTTTATAATTTCGTGTAGAGAAAATAACGCAGAAACATCATTTTTAATTAGACTGATGTTATAAAATGGATTATTTGTGAGCTACGGCCCCAAAAGCCTCGAAAAATTTACTTCCTCCTTAATTACTTACTTGCATACTTGCGGAGGTGCAAAAAAGTTCTAATGTCCAGGAAATTTAGTATTTGGGGTTTTTAGTAAGAGAATTACGAAATCGAAATTAGTTTTTCAAAATTCAAAAAAATCCTACTGTAATTGAAAACGGAAATTTTGCGTTTTTAGGAGCATACGGCCCTTCGTTGACGTGACCAAGTATTTGTTTTGATCCTCTCTGCCGCTCAACTTTTTTTTGAGATAATTGTTACACCGTTCGGTGAGCAACAACATTTACTAGGAACCAGTAAAAGAAAATCATGAAGGGGATAATGAATCTCTCTTCATTTATTTTTAACTACTGCACTTTCGGCGGAGTCATTAATTTTTGAAAAAATAATCTCAGCTACATCTTTCCCTTTTTAGGCTCCACTTACAGTCAGTATCAAGTAAATTAGCAATTAAAAAATGAAATAGTAGAACAATGAAACACGTTCTTTCGAAATTGAAATTTGATTATAGTAATAAAAAAGTAGGTCAGTAGATCGGAAATTTAAGAGCTTAATAAGGGAAAAAGTCGTATACTTGTGCGATATGAAAAATAAAATATTATCTAATTTCCATGTTAAAACGAACTCATTAACGCACCGTTTTTAAGTTGGTATTAAAAAGGAAACCCACTGCTCTATTTGACATTCGACCTCATTTGCTTTCAAATTAGGGATTCTATTTTGATATACAGGAAGTCACAAGATTCCCTTTCTAGTTAATTAAAAGCGAAAGTGTTAATCAGTTACAAGAAGAACAATATCGAAAAACTACTTAATAACTTTCTCGCAGAGGAAGTTAATATTACATTATGTAGCATACAAGCAAAGCGGGGATTTCAAGTAAATTTTTACATTTATGATTAATGCATTTTGTTGTAACAAGTTAACGTGCAGTCTGTGGTCAATTACCAGTACGAATGGTGTACCTAACCTTACATTCAGAAAAACAGGCTATAAAGTCGAGGATAAAGCAGATGGTAGGAAAGGGAAAGAATGATTATAGAATACCTCCGCAAACACATTAATCACTTGTTCTGCATTATTAATATCATGAGCCCCATTTGTGCAGTGTCGCTGTGCTACCCTGTTCAAGAGGAAGTGACAATCCGAACCCGTTCCAAATGTATATCGCATACCGAACACGTAAAAACGATCCACATAACAACGCTCCATTAGTAACCGCTAATGACAAATCGCGAAAACCTAATTATTTATTGGTTAGTGCTCTTTTTTCAACCAATCACAGTTTTCCAAAACCAATACAATTTTAAAAAAACACCGTTTATGATGCGATTTCCCCGCATACATGTAATGTGGATGCTACGTAAGAAATGTAATATTAGAAACTCGTGGAAATAGATCCAGTCCTATCCCTACGCCCGGCTGGGGGGGGGGGGGGGGGGAGGGCGACATAGGTCTTTAGACGACAAAAGAACATTAAAAAATCGCAATTGCCACTAAAGGGTTGAGATAGGAACCTGGACATAAAAGGGTAAGGGTCCTATCCCTGGAATGAATTTAGGACCATTTTCTATTGCAGATAATTCTCAACCAGAATATTTCTACGTATGTGGTAACCAGGGAGAATTCAAAGTACGAAAGCTCAAGAGGTGCTCTCGCTTAGTGCCGCAGTACACGAGAAACTTGAGCGAATTTATGGAACCTAAACATGTAAAGCTTCTACTGGGGCATTCTTTCATGGTAACGAAATTCTTGACTGATTGGTGAGAGAAAACGGAAGATGCTTTTTACTGGACCACAACTGGCTTATTATGATGGAAAATTACTATATTACTGCATTACCCTTTAGACGT